AAACTGCGTATATATATTTTTGTTATTGATTTTCATTGCTTATTATTAATTAATTTTATCTTTTTGATTTCTTATTTATTGGTATAATAATACTGATTAATGGCAAATTTAATATTTTATTTGAGAAATTAAATCTATCTTAGAAATCTTAATTGAAAAAAATTATGGAAATTAATTAATTATTTATTACTTTTATTATTGTATTTGCTGAGAGAAATGAAATTGTGTGATTCTCAATCTCTAAATCAAGCAAATGATATTAAATTGTCGTATCTTTTTGCGGCGATTTAATTTCATTTTCTTCACTTATTAAAATCATAATTATCGATTTATTAAAATCACGCAGTTTTATTCCTTTCAAATTCCTTTCTGGAATATAAAAATTAAAAAGCATCAATAACGATTGTTAATTTACATAAGTACTTATGTCGTTATTTTCGAAGATCATCATATCAAGTATTTTTATTGCGATTTACAAAAAACTCTTATGCTACTTAAGAAATGATCGTTTCTGTCTCTTATTTTATTTGTTTTATGTAAAATATTAATTATATTCCATCTCTCTCTTTTTTAATTTTTATACTGATACGGTATTGATATTACATCTTTAAATATTAAATATTATAATCGATGATTTTTCGAAATTGCATTTCGAAAAGTGATGTTAAAAATATGAGAGTAAAGTCTAACAATTCTTGAGAGCAATAACTTATCATCTATTTCTTTTTTATTTGTACATTATTTTAATGAGTTTAATTATTTTTTATTTTCATTTTGAAATTAAAAATATTTTTCTAACGATTATTAGTAAGTTAAAAATTTGAATTTTGAATAACAGTTACAGTAATAAATGTCTTATATTATTTATTTTTATAAACTGCTTAATGTCTGAATCTAGTATTTACTTTTAACGGTACATTAAAAAATTTTAAGATTTATTACATAAGAATATTATATATCATATATATTCCAGATATATATATAGATACGTGTATATACGTACACATTACAAATCCATTATATACCTTAAAATAGATGGATTGGGATATTATTCAAAATGTTTAATTTTGAAATATGTATAACCATCTGTCGATTTATTGTGCGTACAAGAACATATAATACATATGAAAGCTCATAATATAGAGCTTATTATCAATGCATCATTGACCGATTTGATCATTTATTGGCATATTTTGGTGTATCATTATGCAACAGAATATTAATTACGAAGTACACAAATTGCTTGAAATTTAGAGAAAATTTAAACTTACAGGCATTAAATGAAAAAAGATAGAATATTATATTTTACATCCCTTTAGAGTATGTTTGATAAAAGTATGAATATACTAAACGTTAAATCCATGCAAAATAGAAATTATCTACTAAATATATCATTTTTTATTTTATTTTGATATTAAATAATAAATATTATATAATTACGTAGTTAACTTCTATTTATTCATTAAAAATCGCGTAAATAATTATATTAATTATTTTTATTATTGTGTGTGTGTAATGCGCCAATTTTATTCTAATATTTTCTAATCATCTATATAAATTAGTAATTTGATATTACATATTATGAAGAAAAGAGGGAGAAAAGTTGTTTTTATAAATTATATCAGAATACTGAGAATTAACAAGTTATATGTTCAAGTATATATCTTAAAATATTTAATATTGGAATAATTTTTCTTTTTATTGCTTAGATATGTAAATCATTTTGGTTGATAGTATAATAAGCACATATATTTAATATCTTATCCACAACTACACGTCTTGTTTGAAGTATGAAATCCAAGTAAACCTCTATCTTGATGGTTCATAAAAAAGGTTTTGGGTTTTTTATTTTTAATTTAAAGTACATTATATGAAAATGGAGTCAGTATCGTTTAAATCATTAAAATAAATGAAGAAATGGCAGATCGATATGCGTGTGCTTATGTAATTATAGATTGAACGTGCGAATTCTACGCGATGCCGTTTCAACGAACCTTGATCGTTTTTAATTCAGTCACACTATATTCTTGACCACCGTATTCTCGATATCTCGTATTAGGGTTTTTCGACCAATTAATCTTCAATATACGTTATTAAAGTATCGTAGGATACTCGTCGCTGGACACTCGGTACATGATATTCTTGGCGCGGGCGAGTCTCTGGAAGAGCACTCCATAGGCTAAGTAAATCAGCGGCCTTTGGCCAAGAGAGGCCACCCTTTAACCCCCATACCAGCCCCACCGTCATCCCTTGCGTGATGATAGAAGTGGGGATGGCAGGGACAACAAAGGGTCGGCTAAGAGCTCTTCAGCGACCACTCGCGCACCTTCCCCATCCTAGGAAGCATCACGTACTCTTCGGCTCAACTAGTCTTGCTTGCTTGCTTGCTAGCTGCTTGCTTGCCTCATGACGTGATTGCCACCGAAATGTGTTTACCGTAAACCGTATCAAACTGTCGAGGGCCGGCCCGCTTCAGCGTTGTAGCGCTGTCTGTCTTTTTCAAGTACATCGATAAAAGTACGTATCTCCATCAATTTCGCGAGTCACCGTTTATGGTGGCCATCGTGCAGTCTTCCATTTTTCCATTTTTGCAAACTTTGATCCTAAAGTAGACACGTGTAAAACATACAGAGAGAACTTGAGATTTGTATTCTCTAATACCGACACGCTGAGTTATGATTCAATCATGATAAAAATAATATGGATAGAGCCTTGTTAGAAGCGATACATTCTCTTAGAAGAAAGTGTATTATAATTTAAATATGTTGAAAGCAAATTCTCTAGATTTTTTTTATAACTAATTCATATTTCGTTATTATAAACGCGCATAACTATCACTATTTTTAATGATAGAAAAATACGCATTTTACAATATATCTATTGTATGTGTATTATGAATATATATAGATTTTTTATAGTGTATGTTGTATAGTATATGTTGTATAGAAAATTGTTTAATTGTAATTATATGAGTTTCTAGTGCAATCCGATTTTTTCATGTTTGTTGATTTAAAATATCGTTTCTTTACGTTTCGTTTCGAGAGTCAGTGCAAAATTTCATCATGGTAAACAATCCTTGTCGCCAATCAATACTGATACTAACATCGACAATTAAAAGTTTGCATCACTTACGCACTGGGATAATTTTAATGGCGATAGTCGGACGACTTTGAATTCAAACACATCGGCCAGGACCCAACGGTCCGTTGACAAACACGACGGCCGCGATCTCGATAAATATCGGCGTTGCACTCCGATAAATATCATGTTCAACTTCGATAAATACCAGGCACGGTTAATCGACGCTTGCCGGAATTAAAAGCTTATTGATTATCGGAATGTAATTCCCGCCTCGATGATACTCGTCCACCCATTATTCTCCATCTGCGTAACGATCAGTCGTCCTTGACTTGTATAGGACGACGAATTTTCGCAAGCTTACCGCTCAAAGTGGCTGTTATCACGCAATCGAACTGAAATTAGTCGGATAATAATTAGACGCGTGCGTCGTCTACATCTTGATCTTGCGACGTAACATTGTTTTGTTTTAATCGTTATGTTTCAATTTTCATTGATAATTAGAATGATATGTATAATATATTGTTTATAGTATATTAATTAAAAAGTACTACTTAAAATTGGTCAGCTTACTGTACGTTTAACTTTTTTTTTAAGAATTAATCTTTTGTTAGAAAAGGGACGGATTCTAATAACGAATGTCTTACATTGAAAAGATAAGTGAATATACGTTTTAGTTATATGTAAATAGGAATGAAATCTGTTATAAATGTTAGTTTTTTTATTTGACACTTTTGCCTCGAATATAATCATATATTTCCTGGAGAGCACATAGATTTATTATTGTTTGCTTAATCATAAAAAATTACTCGCAGATTATTAGTTGCAAAAATTCAAATATAGTACAACAAAATTTTTACGAGTGGCCGTAAACTATAACGTAACCGACTAGATCTTGTCGAATCTTACTTTAGCCACATAAAGTGCATTTGGGCCGTGACCAGAAGGTACCCAGAGCATGCGGTATAATCGTCCTGAACACGCCGGAAGCTATTTCCGCCCCAATTTGCAATCCAGTAAATACCAGGGAACTATCACCAAATACCGCACCCAGTCTCAGACTCAGACAATAACTGGCTGTTCCGTCTGTGATGTATATGAGCCTCATTGTTATTGTTTCGTTGTGAAATATATACTAAGTGCGCGATGATCGGCTACCGATGGAACGGAATATTTATTTGCTGACGTGAACATTTTAAGATCACAACGTCAAGAATCAAGTGATAAATCATTACTAACAAAACTAATTTGTCGAAGATAGATGCTCTTGGTTAAGCATACAACTCGTTAAAATGATGATTCGTGGCAAAAGCAAAGATTAATATGAATAAATCATATGAAAATGGGTATATATCTATTTCGAAAGTTAAGAATGGAGATTACTTAATCCTTTCCCACAGATGTTAGTTAACGCTACCATCTCTTCAAAGTTTTTTTACTTTTTAATGATAGTGCGAAGAAAAATTGAATATATTTTACATTATATACATATATATAATGTAAAATAATCTTTCCTTGTTATTATTTTTTGTGATATTCATCGAGATATTTCGATTTAGGTAGACTATTAACTTAATTACATATTTAATTAATAGCATTTTATAATACATCAAGGAAAGAAACAGACAAACAAGAGGAGAAAGAAAAGTTTTATTTATATTATTAACAGTCACATTACATATTATGTGTTTGAAAAAATCTTAGAAAATTTTATTTATCTTAGAAAAATTTATTTATTCTTAAATTAAAATTATTCACAAGTACACTTATAATTTAAAAGATCCATAAATCAACAGGTTTATTTCCTGTAAAATAAATATACATAACTTAAAATTGTTTTCATTATGGAAGAAAATGTTCAAATGTTCCTATATAAGTATATCAAAATATGCAATAACAATTAAAAATATGGAGATACCTTATTAATTGCAAGAAGAAAAGCACTTTGTATTCCTTTCTACCTCTGCAATGGGCATTGAGAAAACACGGAAATTGATCTCGTTCATATTAAATGTATTATTATAATAGAATAACTTATAGATGTGTATTTGATATCTATTTGATAAGGCCAATAATTCACCATGTCTAATCTTCATCCCACTTACAAATTCCATTTTTGGATCATATGCAACGATCTCCTTAGAACCAATATTTACGATAATAAAATGCAATTTTGAGCAATACTGTTAATCGTAGAGTAACAAATAATTCGTAAAATAATTTGATATAAAGAATAATTGAACTCGGATATCTTACTTTGTTTTTGGAATTAATTTCTTTAACAGCGTCCGCGCACATAATAGATGTTTTTGTAATATCGCTAAAAAATATTCCACATCTGTCAGATGTTATCGCAACTGTCTGGCCTCCTAATACACCCGCCAATTGAGTTTCTTTATTAGCTTCATTAATATCCTTTGGCGAACATTCTATTAAGTTCGACATTTTTGTTTTATACATTTTGCTTCCCGCGAAAGGGACATAGTATAAATCTAAAATTTATAATGAAAGTTAAAAATTATAGATATTAGAGAAATGTCGGTAAATGCTTGTTTAAATTGAAAAAACGCTAAAGATCCGGGTTCGACTCTCGGTCGAGATAATATATATCTTTCGCAATAAGTAAATTATTTTATACAGATTTCGAATATATTGAGATTCTTTAATAGATACTCATTGAGCATCAAAATTTAATTGTGATATTATTTTCGGTAGTTTAGTTGCGTTTTTGAGTCCGATAAAAAATTTCGGCACGTAGTTCAAATATGATATATGTATATGCAAGTATATGTATACATATATATGTATATACATATATGTATATGATATATACATATTCACGTTGAATTATTTAAGTATTAAAGATCCAGCTTTGATCGTTATGATCATTTCCTATTTCCAAAAAATAAGAAAAACAATCAAAATATAATGTCTTTAAGGATCGTACACTAACTGTTTGTGTATTTATTAAAACTTTTACTATGAATACATAAAAATATATGTAAACGTTTCGCTCTTAAATTTGAGTCATTTTCAATATAATATTAAATGAAATATAAATCAAAAAAGTAACTTGTAACTGTAACTTCGTTACAAGTAACGAGTTACTTCCATTCCCTGACAAAATCCGTTTCCTCAGATTTAGCTATCTAGAAATATTTTTTTCTTGTTTATTCTATGTTAAATTGATCGCATTTTTGATATAAGAAACTTATAGTAGACTTAACACAAAATCCGTTTCCTCAGATTTAGCTATCTGGAAATATTCTTTTCTTGTTAAAAAAAAAATAAAAATACTTGCCTTCACCAATAATTGTCACGCCGTAGATGGTGTCAGTAGTAGGATATCGCTTGTTCGCTAATAGGATATCAACATCAGTCTGTTTCATAAAATCAGATTCGACTCTGCATAACTTTGAAGTATATCCATTATATGTTATTAAACCAGCACCTTCCACATCTCCTATGAATACCTGAGTACCGCAATTTTATTAATACAACATTATATTTCCATATTTATTTAAAATATAAACTCTGTTTCTCTCTCTTATATTATACAATTTTTTTAATTTAAAGAAAATGTACTAACAATAGCATTATCCTTTACATTTTGACAGTCAGGTGCAAAAACGGTAATTGAAGCTATCAATCCATCGCCAGTTTTATTATGAGCAATGTTAAGTGGTATAGTAACACGTTTAACTAATTCATCAGTTGATAAATCAAAGATTAGTAGCTGTGGTAAGCATATTTGATTCTCCCCAATTCTGCCACCATCCACAACAAATAGATGATTGCATGTAATCTGAGATAACAAAATGCAAATTATTTATATTTTATTGTTATTACTTAAATAATTATTAGGAACATAATATAAGTGTTAAAATGTCCAATATACTGCGGTGGTTTTAAACGCAACAGTCGGATGTATAATTCATTATTTACAACATGAAAATGTCCCACTGATAATCTTTTAGTTTATTGTTTTATATAGACGAAAAAATAAAAAATAGGTATTTCTTTTCATTGGTTAAGTCGTACGTTGAGGAGGTGAAAACCTTCCTTGAAAAAAATCGGTTTTTTCTTTTTAGAATAAGTATCGTCGAAATCACACAAATATAAACAGTAATAAAAACTTCAAAAATAGATACTTCTTCAAAATCAAGGCTAATAAGCGAAACTCTAAATTTGCAACTATTTGTGCTTTTTTTATACTTATTTGTCAACAACGTAGATAAAACTATGAAGCAGCAAATCTATTTTCTGCATAACATCACACAAAACATCTTATTAATATACTCTTTATGTCAACATTGAACATTGAAATTAGCTGTTCTACAATGAAAATAAAATGAATAAAATATAAAAGTAATTATTTCTTTATTCTTTCTTTGCTTTTAATTGTCCAAAATATTTTGTATATTTTTTATATACTATCAAAAGCATTTAATTGATTTTAGTAGAGTTTAACAAAATCACTATTTTTTTGTTATTATTATTATTATTATTACTACTACTTAAAAAACTTGTTTTGATAGTCACTGCTGTACTGTTACTGCACTGTGTTGTATCTACTTCCAACGTTATCTCGCGCAGCCAACGCGGTATAAGATGGATACATATGGAGTGCGTATACATGTATAGAGACGTTTTCATTCATATTTAAAAAATGATTATTCGTAATTTTCATATATCATTGTTTTTTTAGTGCAGTGTTTTTTAATTCTTGTCATATAAAAATTTAAACATTTTTGAAAATAGGGGTAGGGGTAGGGGTATATAATAAACAAATAATTAAAAGATTTTGTTTATTATAGTTATAAAGTACTCTTGAAGCCATTCAATTTTTATTCTGGAAATTTTTTTTTATCTTTTATGGTTTCGACCATATTTATTCTGAAAGAAAAAAAAACAAATTTTTTCGAGAGAGGTTTTCACCCTTTTAACGTGTGACTCAGCTGATATAAAAAATACGTATTTCTTATTTTTGTCTATAGAATAATATACTAAAAGTTCATTAAAATCGGAGAGGGACACTTCTATGTTCCCCTGTTAATAAAAGATACTTATTAATACTAACTTGTATTTGATAAACACCGCCTGTAATTCCTTTACAATCATCTTTATACCAAGACCAATCTGGATATGCACGTAGAAGTGGCCCACCCTCTCCTTGTTTCTCAGTTACTGTCATTACACCAAGTGGTACGCCATCGTCTCTCGTCGCAGTAATAAATACTCTGCCATCTATAAAAAGTTTTGAAAACATAATTTTTATTATATTTATTGTGAATATATATAATATATACATATATATATACATATATATACATATATATTACAATTTTATTACGATAGCAGTTATTTGTTGCATTAGCAATATCAAAATTGTATACGATCAATCTTAGAGCGTAACGACGTTTACAACAGTAATAAAGAAATTCATAAAGAATATTCATATAAAGAATTATTATAATGAGTAATGTCAGCTTACCATCCGCCCTATCTATATCATACAAATAAGCTATATTAGGAGTGTATTTGCCAAAATATATTGCTTCTTCTTTTTGTTGTGGGCTGTCCCAAAGAATGTCTAGATATTTCCATTCGTAATTGAGAAGCAATTTGCCGAAACTTATAGCTGTCATCGACAGAAATGATATTTCGAGCAAAAAATGTTTCATTTTTACGTACTATATAATCATGTATATGCGGAATCATATATAGATAAACTGTCGAGGTATAAGAAATATGTACTTCGTAGAAGTGGATACATGAATGAGACTTATTTTAGCAAGTATTTATGATATATTCGCATTATAATGCATATGAAAATTCAGAAGTATGTATATTCTTATTTAGCTAATCTGATAAACAATTGCAACCTAATTGTAAGTTGAACTTACAATTAGAAATTATTGATACCTACTCGTACATTCATTGCATAAGAGATACATACATTATATACGTATAATGCATATACATATGTGTTTCTTCATGTATCTAGTTAATGATAATATATCTAGAACAATTAGTGAATACTATTCAACAAAATTAAAGGATCATTTGTTTCATCCTGTAAAAATAGGTAAATTTCAAGATAGAATAACTTCGTCAAAAATCATCATATCGAGATGTTTAAAAAAACGTTTTACAACATGAAATCTCTACTTTCCAGATCGCTAAACACGGTTTTACTGAGTTTTACTAATATTTATGAAGTTATTCTATCTTAAAATTTGCCTATTTTTGCGGGGTGCAACAAATGATCCTTTAATTTTGTTGAGTAGTGTATATGTATATATATTATAATCAATTAATATAATTATTACAATACATGTGTAGAGTATACAATATGTACAAGATTTGCTATGTTTAAAATGAATGTAACATATCATTTTATCAGCAATATGGAATCATTATTGATAAAAAGACAAAAAGTTTATACATAAATTTATATAACTAAATTGATAGAAAATTGTAAAATTTATGCATTTCTACACACATATTCATTTTATTAAATTGCTCTGATTAAGTTGAAGTGACATTTTTACGATTACGGATCTTTTAGATACAGAGCATAATAGAATGTATTTTTTGAAACGACTTTTGGTCCTGATCACTGTAATATATTTACCACGTACATATACATTTACATGTTATATAATAAAATGAAATTAAATCGTACGCCTAAGTATCGCAATACGGTGAATGACAGAAGTACGATAATCGGAATTTTTACAATTCATATACGTATAAACATTTAAATGCTACGTATATGAAAACATGTATATTTAAAGAAATAGATTTGCAATGAAAAGTACATAGTAATTACGTTATTATCATATGTTATTACAATATTCGTCTTTCTTCGCATTTTGGTCATTGTATTATGTATATCATTTCTAATTATCCATTACTGATAATTTTGTATGGAGAAGCGAGATTAATTTTGTATATACTATTATACAATTATTATTAATTTTAATAATTTTTATTTTAAAGAAGTGATTAGAATGATTGTCATACTCTCTCTCTTTCTCTCTAAATATGAAAAATAATTAATACAAGATGACAAAAACGTTTGGCCACGAAGTTTTGTGTTTATAAAATCATTAGTTACATATACTTAAATAAACATAAGTTACATATATTTATTAAAAAAAAAAACAGAATTTTGAATTATATCTTATAAAAAATTAAAAATAATAACATTTAAAATATCTATCTTTAGCTTCGATGTATAAACTTGAAGGCCTTTCTGGATAGCATCATTTTTCCTTATATTTTTGGCACGTTTATTATTATATAATTCCTAAATCGAAGATATAAATGATTAGTATAAATTGATTTCAGTGTTTCTTTATTACGATTAGGGAAGATACATAGAGAGAATGAGATGTGCTACAAATTGGAGATGCATACACGGTCCATCAATGTCGTTAGTGATCTGGTTTGGTGCAATTGGTATTTTGTGGTTAAGATTGGTCATAACTGGTATAACTATTCCGACTACGACAAGCAGTCTCATGCAAAGCACGTCCAATCCACGATTGACTAAGTGCTGCAATGTTTCCATTTGCATTCACGTGATCCAATTGTAATTCCGCGACAGATCATTTTGATCTTCGTTTAACTAAAATTTTACTTTGCATTTAATTTTCAATATTTGTTGCGAAACTTAAGATATTGTTTTTGTGAGTGTTTATGAGTGACAGGCAATTATTATTTCTAACTATAAACGAGATACTTTCTTCGTATCGTATCAGTTGTATCACACTAAAAGATATATTAAATTTTAATAAATAATTTTTTAATACAAACTAAATAGTTAATAAATACAAAGACATATTTATTTGGTACAAGAATTAATTCAATTTGTATATCATTTCTTTTTACTGAATCATTATAAACAAATGTATAGTTAATACACACACACACACACAAATAAATATTTATTAAAATTTATTGTATATTTCCTTATTGCAATTTACTTCGCTCACATACATGTCAATGGTCAAGAATGCTTCACATCTTCTAAGCATGAGAAAAAAAAATAGCAATCTTTCCCTTGTTATTCTCTGTAATTCAATGTATTATTTCGATTTTTTGCGACAATTAACTGTTAGACTTATTTATTTAATTAATAGATTTTTATAATACATTCGATAGAGAGAGAAAGAGGGAGGGGAGTAAGAGGAAGATAAGTTTTATTTATATTCTAATAATCATATTACATATGATGTTTATACAAATCTTAAGAAAACTTATTTATACTTAACATAAAATTATTCAAAATTATACTTGTAATTCATTTAATGAGCCCGTAAATCCACGGGTTTATTTCCTGTAACATATATTTTTTTTAAATTGTTCTTTTATTATGAAAAAAAGTTTATTTGATATGTTGTCATATATGACAAAATGCAATAAAATATTAAGTATGAACATACCTTAGTATTTTGCAAGAAGAAAAGCATTTTGTATTCTTTTCTATCTCTGCAATGGGAATCGAGAGAACACGGAAGTTTACCTCGTTGCTATCAAAAGTGTTATTATTATAAACTACATTGTAGACATGTAAATGGTATCTATTTGATAGAACTAATAATTCACCATTTCTAATCTTCATCCCGCTTATAAATTCCATTTTTGGATCATACGCGACGATCTCCTTAGAACCAATATCATTTACAATAATAAAAATGCAGTGTTAAGCAATATTGTTGATCGTAGTGCGACAAATATTTTGTAAAATAATTTAGTACAAAGAATAATTTTATTCGAATATCTTACTTTATTTTTGGAATTAATTTCCTTAGTGGCGTCTGCGCACATAACAGACGTTTTTGTAATATCGCTGAAAAATATTACACATCTGTTAGACGTTATTGCAACTGTTTGGCCTTCTAATGAACCCACCAATTGAGTTTCCTTGTTAGCTTCATTAATATCCTTTGGCGAACATTCTATTAAGTTCGACATTTTTGTTTTATACATTTTGCTTCCCGCGAAAGGGACATAGTATAAATCTAAAATTTACAATGAGAGAAAGTGTTAACAATTACAGGGATTAGAATAACGTATTAATAACCGCTTGTTCATTTGCCCCTCTTGTGTCAGAGAACTTATAACAAGACTTTGATCAAACTTTTCTGAGATTTAATTATCTGAAAATTTTTTCTTTTCATTAAAAAATTCAAATATATACTTGCCTTCATCAATAATTGTCATGCCATAAACAGTGTCGTCATTAGGATATCGTTCGTTTGTTAACACGATCGCTTCATGAGTTGATTTCATGAAATCAGATTCGACTCTGCATAACTTTGAAGTATACCCGTTATATACTACTAAGCCACCACCTTCCACATCTCCTATGAATACCTGAGTATCGCCATGTTATTAATACAATGTTATATTTGCGTATTTATTTAAAATATAAACTCTGTTTCTCTCTCTTTCTCTCTCTCTCTCTCTCTCTCTCTCTCTCTCTCTCTCTGTCATACTAAACAATTTTTTCTATTTAAAGAAAATGTACTAACAATAGCATTATCCTTCACATTTTGGCAATACGGGGCAAAAACGGCAACTGAAGCTATCAATCCGATGCCAGTTTTATTATGAGCAATGTTAAACGGAATAGTAACACGTTTAACCAATTTATCAGTTGATAATTCGAAGATCAGTAGTTGTGGTAAGCATAATTGATCGTCCCCAATTCTACCCTCATCCACAACGAATAGATGATTGCATATAATCTGAGATGAAGAAAATGCAAATGATTTATATTTTTATATATTATATATTTTATTGTTTTTACATCAATAATTATTGACAATATGTTAGTGTTACAATATCCAACATATTGTTGGTTGTTTAAACGTAACAGTCGAATATATAATTCGTTACTTACAATTAGATAAAAAATATTAATACTAACTTGTACTTGATAAACACCACCTGTGATTCCTTCACAATCATCTTTATACCAAGACCAATCTGGATATGGACGTAGTAGTGGCCCACCTTCTCCTTGTTTCTCAGTTATGGTCAGCACACCAACTGGTATGCCTTTGTCTCTCATCGCAGTAATAAATACTCTACCATCTATAAAAGATTTGTTTAGAAACGCAAATTGTGCTAGATACGTATTCGTATATTCATCGTGTATATATGTATATATGTATTGCAATGAAACTGGTATGTATATATATATATATGTGTGTGTGTATATATATATATATAATAGTTTATTATAATGGCAGTTATTTATTGCATTAGCAATATAAAAAACATTTAATCAAACTTAGAATTTGATGACGTTTAGTACGTATAGTACAACAATGATAAAGAAATTTATAAAAAATGTTGATATAAAAATTTATTATAAAATTTTTGAATAATTCTCAACTTACCATCCGCCTTATCTATATCGTATAAAAAAGCTACGTTAGGATTGTATCTGCCAAAGTAAATCGCTTCTTCTTTTTGGCGCGGACTGTCCCAAAGAATATCTAGGTATTTCCATTCGTACTTGAGAAGCGATTTACCGAAACTCGTAGTTGTCATTGATAGAATTGGTATAACAAGCAAAAAACGTTTCATTGTGGCGTAGTGTATAGTCATTTAGATGCACAATAATAACCAAATGAGTTAATAGATATACGTATTTTATGAAAGCGAATGCATGAATGAGACTAATGTTGGCATGTATTTATGATATATTCGCTTTATAATGCATATAAAAATTTAAAAGTATATCTTCGTTTAGCTTGTCACTGATAAACAATTCTAACCTAATTTGAAGTCGAAGTTGTGATACTTGCATTTATTGCATAATAAATATTATACATACATTATATTTAACGTATTTATATATGTATCGCTTCATAAATTCTAGTCATTGATAATCATTGATATCTAGAATACTTAGTGAATATATATGTATAGTAAGTTGATATAATTATTATAAATAATCTATATACAGAATATGTATATAGTGTATATAGAATTTACATGTATATAAAATATAGCATATTATTTTATCAACAATATGAAATCATAGTACAATATATATAAATTAAAAAAGTATGTTATCCTTAAATAATTTATACTTACTCGTGTATTTCATTTCAAATGTTCTTAAGTTCATAAGTTTATTACCTGTAACATATACACGCGCATATCTTAAAATTATTCTTTTATTATGAAAAACAGTTTGTTTGATATGTTATCATATTTGTCAATATATGCAATAAAAGATAAAAGTTTAAAAACACAACTTGTTCTAGATGCATTAAATATTGGATTGGAGAAAAAGTTTTTTTACAATGAAAAAGAACGGTTTTTTAAAAATATCTTTGTTAAAAATGAACGAAATTAAAAGTCTTAAAGCTTGAAATCTGTACTTTCAAATGATTACTATATTTTTTTAGTTTTTGTAAGTTTAATAATTTATATATATAAAAAATTACGAGCTGAAAAAAATGCAAAATTTTCTTTTCATTTTATAGGTCTTTTATGTGTTCAAAAAATATTTACGAAAATTTTCTACTAACTTTCGTGAAAGCTTGAAACTTGCTACAAAATCATTTTTTTTAAATGTTTCTACGATTTTTTATTCCTGAGTTACTCACAAGTTAAATAAAGGAAGAGAGAGAGAGAGAGAGAGAGAGAGAGAGAAAGCATTCTAATTTTAATTGCTTATAACTCTGTTAAAAATCATTATACCAATTAAAAAAAACAAATTAAAAAAACAAATTCTTAAATCTGAAACTTTGCTCTATCGAATAATATAATTGCAAGGAAAATTTCGTAACAAATGATGGGATGAGGGAAAGTTCTTTTACATGTATATAAACGGACTTTTCTTCAAGTCAATAATGGATATATTTATCGTGAATATAATATATTTGATCATATAATTTTGATATTGCTAATGCAACGAATAACTGTTATTAAAATATAATAAAACTGTAATATATATATATATATATATATATAAAATAAATATACATTTTTTACATTAATTGTGTGGTATTCATTTTCTCGTAACATTTATCGAACTTTATTGCAACACTACGATATATTTTTCGAAGCGATTTTTGTTTCCGATTACTGTGACGTATTTATTATGTACATATATATTTACGTGTTATATAATAAAATGGAATAAGGCCATAGGCATAAGTGGTAGAACCGGCGAATGATACAAATACGATAATTCTAGTTTTTTTCATAATTCATATATGATATATTGTATAAGCATTTGAATACGTAGTAGTTATGCTATCATATGTTACTGCAATATATGTACGATTCTTTTCATAATCTGGTCATTGGATTATGTGTATTTATTCAAATTCCATTATTAATGATTTCGAGTTATGTACATTAATTTGGTGTATTATTAAATACATTATTTTTAATCTTATTATACAATTTTAATTTTGAAGGAGTGATTAGAATAATCAGCCTATTTTGTGTAAAACTAATATATAAAGTATAATTAAAATGTTACAGCACATGACAAAAAATTTTAGTCACAAAATATTGTCAAATTAATATATATTTACATAAAAACAAATTTTGAAAATTTTATATCTTATTGGATTTTGTATGTGTATTATTAAATGTTAAAAATAATTATTAACATTTAAAATAGCCACCTTTAGCTTTAATATATCTACCTATAAATTTTAAGATATTACAGAAATGCATCAATAATAACCGCCCATCTTTCCAAGAATCAATTTTCCTATAAGCAATTAATAGAACAGTCTGTGGGAATTGTAGAAAATTATTTGATGCATAGTCTTTGGTATTTCACAAGCTGTACCTAACATTTTATAATTTGTTTTTTTTTTTATGTATCTACGTTATTATCCAAGTAATAAGCTGACGTTATTTACTGTTATTTTTTTTCATTAAAATTACATCTTTAATGTTATTTTAACGCCAAAATGACGACAAATAACGTCAGCTTTTTATCTATATAATGATTTAATTATAATACATAAAACTTTGTACCAGAAACTTTTTTGTCATCATCTTGGTATTCTTGGCACTTTCATTCTCTAAATCATGAACATAAAGGATTATCCTAAATCAACTACAGTGTTTTTTCGTTACGAATATAGATTAAATAAACAGAGAGAATGAAACGTGCTACAATAAGTGGAAGGTGCATACGTAATTCATTAATATCATTAGCGATCTGATTCAGAGCAACTGATATTTTATGATTAAGACTGCAGTTATAATTGGTAAAACTTTTTCGATTAAACAAGCAATTTCGCGCAAAACACGTCCAATCTATTATTAAGTAAGTGTTGCAATGTTTCCGCTTGTATTCACATGTATCCGATTGTAATCTCACGATAAACCACTTTTTATGTTCTTTTAAAGTAATTTTCATTTTTTGCGATTAATTTTCAATATTTATTGCAACACTTGAGATTGTTTTTGTTAATGTTTATAAGTTTACAGGCAACTATTAGTTTCAACAAAATTTCTATCTTTTCAAGGAACTTCTATGTTCTTTATCATCTTTGGATATTTATAGAATAATTTTGTAAAGAAAATAGCATTATTTATTATCTAATTTATATATCAATTAAAACATCTTTTCCGTAGTGTGTCATGTGTACCGCATTGAAAAAAATATTAATTTTAATAAATAATTCGTTTGAATGGCGCCAATTAAAGATTTACTAAATGCAAGTATATATTTATTTGGTAAACAAGAATATTAATTTGATCTATTTATCATTTCTTTTCATCGAGTAAATATTTATTTTCTATAAGTGAATGTTTAGTCGATATTCAAATGAGTAATTAAAATTTAGTATATTTTTTCTCAGTATTATTTATTACGTATATAGGTGTTTAGTTCCCTTACATACATGTCCTCATTCAAGAATGCTTTATATCTCATAAGGATGAGAATAATAATTTTTCCCTGTTGTTATTCTCTGTAGTGTTTAACGAAGTATCTCGATACTTCATGGTATGTACGGTTCCTGTGTTCTCTTTTTCTGAATGAGTTATTCTGTTAAAATGCCTTTTTATTTCTCGCGTCCCACGCTATTCTGACTTACGTCACCTTGCATGATGAGACGCATTCGTTGCCAATCGCGAGCACCAATAAATGCGCATCGCGCGTCCACAAAGTTTCAGCCTTCCATCCCTCCGCGAACGTCGCGCACAACAATCGTTTCCGTTTATTCGCCGACAATGCGCCAAACTTTCCAGTTGGACCGCGCGCTGGCTGGCTGCGCTGGGTAAGCTCGGCACGATGTATTTGCTCGGCTGTTCTCGGCCGGGAAACTTGGAAATTTATTCCCGGGGAAATTCGCGCGTTTGAATTTTTAGCAGGCTGACGCGCAGAACTTTCTTTCTTCCGGTGGCAGCGAAACGCCGCCCACCCGTTCGCTTAATCGTCTATAAGAAAGCGATTCTGCTGGAGTCAATCTCTCTGCCTTCTCCTCGCGTGAAACGAGGGCAAAAAGGTCGCTAGAGATCCGAGAATTCATTCGTACCGTTGTACTCTTCACCCTCTTCTCTACGCGAGAAGTGATTGATCGATCTCTCTCTCTTTCTCTTTCTCCCTTCGCGTTTGTTTCTCGCTGAACACGTTCAAATGGATCGAGAACAGTTTGTTACCGACTTAACATGCGGCTAGAAAAGGAAATTAAATTCTTGATCTATAGAACAAGAACGTGCACTCCAATATTGATAGGCATATCGATTATAACTGATTTTTATCAACGCGAGCTAGTAAAAGTGAATAATCTTTCTTTTACAATCACGATAGAAATATAACAGCAGCAATAATAAGCTCTCTGAAAATAATTTAATATACTATATTGTGCAATTTTATAGATACATTTTTGTATGTAACAATGTATCGTGCTGGAATAAAAGTTCATAACGCTACTTCATCTGTATCGTGTCTACATGTTTTAAAAAATTTGCCTGTTATACCTTTCAATACAGCAAAGTTGCAACTTTAAGAATCTGTTTTTTTAAATTGTTCATGGCACGGTGATTTTTAATGGAGTTATAAGCAATTAAAGTTAAAATGCTAATTTTATTTAATCCGAATAAGAATCTGTAATAAAAAAATCTTAGAAACATATTGAAAGCAATTTTATAGAAAACTTTAAGCTTTCACGTTAGAAAGTCCAAAGTGTTTGCAAATCTCTTTTAGACACGTGACGAATCCACAAAGTGAGAATAAAATTTCTCATTTTGTTCAGCTCGTGGTTTTCTACATATACCTGTGTAAAAATTATCAAACTCACGGAAACTCAAAAGACATAGTAACCTTTTGAAAGTAGAAATTTAATCCCTTTTATTAAATTTAAATTTCGTTCATTTTTAATGAAATTAACTGTTTGAATTTGAAATTTGTAGTGTTACTTTTGTTCCAACCTAATATTTCTCTTTGCTATCAAAGATCGGAATGATCAATAGTATAACATCCCACAAATTTTTGTGTATAAGATATAATCAAGGAGACAGAGATGAAGCTTATATAACTTTGATGACGTTAAAGCATCACTTTCAAGCAACATCTTCGTCGGTCGTGTCTCTTCCTTTTA